TCTCACCCTGAATTCTTGGGGAAGGGTCTAGGCCCTGCCCTATATGAAATGACAGACTATGGACACCCTCATGGAGGGTCTCACCCTCCCTGGGGGAATGAGGGGATAACGGGGGGGGGGGTTGGGGGGAGGGCACGGGAGGAAGGGAGGGAATGGGATAGGGACCTGGAACTGACTTGTGAAGCAACCTCGTTTCTTATCTAAATTTAAACTGGAAAATAAAATATAAAAAAAAACCAACCCCCCTCTCTTCCCGCATATATTGTGGCTTCCAATTTTGTGCTTTTTATTGGCTTCCTGAGTGTGCAAATGAGTAGGTCTCTGTGTATTTATCTGTTTCTTCAGTCTTTCTTAGGTTCTTGTTCTTCTGCTTGTTTGTTTGTTTTTTTTTGTTTGTTTTTGTTTGTTTTGTTTTTGTTTTTTGAGACAGGGTTTCTCTGTGGCTTTGGAGGCTGTCCTGGAACTCACTTTGTAGACAAGGCTGGTCTCGAACTCACAGAGATCCACCTGCCTCTGCCTCCCAAGTGCTGGGATTAAAGGCATACGCCACCAACGCCCAGCCTGCTTGTTTGTTTTGTCCTATTTGGATATGTTTGCTTTGCTGTATTGTCTTAGTTATGACCAAAGCAATTCTTATAAAAGAAAGCACATTTAATTGGGTACAGACATCAAGGTCCACTCCCAGTACATATTTCCTCCAACAAAGCACACTGCCTAATCCTTCTAATCCTTTTAAATAGTGCCACTCCCTGCTGACTAAATATATTATCCTATGGGGGTCATTCTTATTCAAATCATTATATTTATCTTATTATATTTTATTGTGTTTTATTGTACTATTATCCCTTAGAGGCCTGTGTGTTTTCTTCTGTTTTTTAAAAAAAATTTATTTCTTTTACATCCTGGCCACAGTTTCCCCTCCCTTCTCTCTCCTCAGTCCCTCCTCACTAACACCCTCTCTGTTCCCATCCCCCAATCTACTCCTCCACTTCTGTTTATGAAAGGGCAAGTCTCCCATGAGTATCAAGTTGCAGAAAGAATAAATACCTCCCCATATATTAACGCTGAGCAAGGAGACCCAGTATGAGGAGTAGGGTCCAAAAAGGCAGCAAGAGAGTTAGAGACAGCCCTTGTTCCCACTCTTAGGACTTTCATAAGAGGTCCAGGCTACCCAACTGCAACATATATTCAGAGTGCCTAAGTCAGTCCCATGCAGTCTCCCTGGTCCTTGGTTTAGTTGTTGTGAGCCCCTGTGAGCCCAGGTTAGTTGATTCTATGGGTTTTCTTGTGGTGCTCTTGACCCCACTGGCTCCTACAATCCTTTATCCCCTTCTTCCACAGGATTCCCCAAACTCTGCCTAATGTTTGGCTGTGGGTCTGCATCTGTTTCTTTCAGTTGCTGGATCAAGCTTCTCTGGTGACAATAGGGATTAGCACCAATCTATGAATATAGCAGCATATTGTTAGGCATCATTACATTGACTTTTTTTCTCTAATTGTATTTGGTTCTATCCTAGATCTCTGGGTCATCCAGCTTGTGGGTCCTGGTGCTCCAGAGAGTGTTGGGGTGGGCTTATGATTCTGGCATGGGTTTTAAGACAGACTAGTCATGAGTTAGTCACGCCCCCAATCTCTAGGCCACCCTTACCCCAGGCCATCCCATAGATAGGCCACCCTGGAGGTCAAAGGTTATGTGGCTGGATTGGTTTTCCATTCCTTCCACTTGAAGTCTTGTCTGGTCACAGGGATTGGCCAGTTCAGGCTATGTACCGAAATTGCTAGAAGACTTAGCTGGGGTCGTCCTTTGCTGGGAGATTCCCTTGCACCAGGTTTGTTTACTAATGAGAGTAAGTAAGGAGATGGGTCAAGTTAGGCAGGTAGGTGGGGAATTACTGGGAGGAGTTGCGGGATTGGAAACCATAATAAGGATATATTAATTGAAAAGAAAATCCATTTTAGTAAAAAAATTATTTGTGAATTATCATTTTATTTAAAAAAGAAAACAACAACCCTCACAAACATTTACATACACTAATCTGATCTAGAGAATTTTTCCATCTAGGCTTTCATCTTAGGTAACTCTAGGCTGTGTCAAATTGAAGATTAAAGTTAACCACAACAGATGCAATGGATAGGGTGGAGCAGACAGAGGAGACTGGTTTTCTCATTCTTGCCTCTTAGCTGTGGCAAGGGAAGGGAAGGTGAGCACAGTGAACTGGGTAATGAGAGGCAGCTATATAAACTAGGGGATGATGTTAAAATGACTGATATTTCGTATTCACAGGTCAGAGCAGAGTCAACACTGCTGGACTCTCTGGCTAATAACTTACTCTTTGTGTATTTGTCACTTCACCTAGTATATAAGTTTAATGGCTGGGAACATAACACAGGGTGAAGTTCTTGCCCAGAGATCCCAAGGCTATAGGTTCCATTCCCAATACCAGTTCAGTTCTCATTGTTACAAGAAACCAAACACAACAGAAAGCTTCCTGTGTGAGAGTGTGGAAGCTCACCAGTCTTGAGAATAGTTATGCCTTTTATTCTACTAGAGCGAAATTTGTTATACAAGTAACAAAATATGGTTGCTATTGTGGATACAATTTTAATATCTTTCAGAGTCATCTTTAAGGTCCATTTGGGTTCCCTTTGCAGCTGTTTATTTATGATGTTATTAACATTTCCTTGAATTTAGGGTGTATGGGACTTCTGCTTCAAAACATTAGTATCTTGAGGAAATGAGGTACTAAAATTGAATGTGAAACACTCAACAATATGTCTGTCACACTGCAATAGATCTTCTTTTTAAAGGTTCTATTTGAAGACACATTTTTAAAAATTTTCTTCTCAACATCAGTAAAATAAAAATTTGATTATTTCATTTAACCATGAAACAAGGGTATCTATTTCTCAAGATCATTTTAACAATTCTTAATGTAATGTCCAGCACAATTTTCTCAACAGCCATAACATTTTATGTTAGTTTAGTTCATATAAAACATTCTGGGAGATGCCTTGCCAATGGTCAGCTTCAATACTGACCATTTTGGAACCTCTTGGGTTTTCAAACCTTTGTGAGAAAAAAAATCAAACAAAAATTCATCATTTTGTTACAAACATGTAGCCCCAAAAGAATCTACTACCAGCATACTGTTAGTCTACTGAGACTGAATCTACAAATGTACCAGAAGACAGTTCATACCTCATTGCACTCGGTAGCATGCCACAGGAATTTAAATAGTGGCTCCCAAAGCATTACTCTATCTGTATCTTTTCAAAGATCTCAGTAACAACAAGCTCTCACAATAAAATCAAACAGGGAGCCAAATCTAAAAACATAGTATGGTGGTTTGAATAAAAATGGCCTGCATAGGTCCATAGGGAATTAGGAGGCTTGACCTTATTGAACTAGACATGGCTTTGTTGGAGGAAGTATGTCACTGGGACCTGGGCTTTGAGGTTTCAGAAGCTCAAGCCAGGCCTGGTGGCTCACTGTCTCTTCCTGCTTCCTGCAGATCCAGATGTAGAACTCTCAACAACTTCTCCAGCACCATGTCTGCCTGTGTGCCACCATGCTTCTCGTCGTGACAATAGTGGACTAAACCTCTGAACTGTAATCCAGTTCCAATTAAATGTTTCCTTTATAAGAGATGCTGTGGTTATGGTATCTCTTCCCAGTAATAAAACCCTAAGCAAGACACATACCAACCCTAATTTTTGTCAGTCATTGAACACTCAATTTCTAGTCCTGCACTAAGTGCATCTTCACTGTTAACTTAGAATTACAAGAATCACTAAGAGCTCTGCTTGTGAGACCCAGTTTCTCCAGGTAGTATTGAGCTTATCACTTAGTTAACTGCCCAGTTATTAATTTCCTTGTATAATAATGAGGGACTCAGAATACGATGATTTCTAAATATCTTCCTGACTCAAAATCCCTAAGCTCCTATTACCAGAGAAGAAATATGAATTAAAAACCAGAAAAAACATGGAAGAAATGCAATGGGCCTCACTCTTCATTCCTGTGTCATAAAAGTGCACACTGATTCTGAGTGAGGCAGTGCGAAATCATAGGCACTAGGTTCTACTGATTCAAGTAGAAATAGTAAGTTATTGATTTTGGCTTCCAGTTTGACTGCATCTTAGGGGAAAAAATGAAACTAGCAGGACAGACTCTTAGTTTAAACCATTATATGGACGTGTGGAGCATTTGTGAGAGTACCCTCCTCGGGGCCTGATCACTGACCTGTTGGGTATCCTTCTGAAGATGTTTTCCAAATCAAATCTGGGGAAGATCTAATATTGATAACAAGACTCAAAAATCTCCATGAAAGTAGAAACCCAATTTTCAATTAGGTGTGCAAAGATACAAGGGACAAAAACTTGACAATGTAACCTGTTTCCCTTCCCTGCCCCAGTCGAGCGCTGAGAAGCCCCACATGGAGCTGACAACGCTGAGCAGTGCAAAAAAAAGGTAAATGCATTCACAAAATTCTCAGCAAGTGTTCCCGGCTTGCTTTGCAGATCAGTCCCGCCCGCAGCTGTGGATCTCTGATGCCTCATACTTAAAAAGACTGCAGTGAGTCTAATTTGGATGTTAAGGACAGGGAATTTTGAAACCAAGTCACATGAAATGTGGGCAGAGTCTAGTTCTGAACACCTAAGCCTAGGAAGTGTAAAAATGTATTGTCTTGGATGAAAGGAAGCAAGACGTCCAAGGTGGGCGACTGACTACATTAATAGAGAAACCGAAGCAGTTGGCATCAGGAACAGATGGTTGCAGAACCGAGCACAAAGGTGACCGTCCACATTTGCTTGCTCAGGGAGTAAGGGCGAACGGAAGAGGCGCTGGAAGCCCGGCCCTCCCCATGCACTCCAACCCCTTTCTGTGCACCCCTTCCCTGCCCCCAGCTTGCGTTCCTGGCTGGGTTCGCGGCCCAGCTCCGGCTCCTGTGGTCCGGGTCTCGAACGGGGTGACGCGCGATGACGCCTCAATGGTCGCCAGGCAGGCTCGCCATCGCAGCGCGGAGCCTCGTGGCCGCTGTTCGAAGCGCCTGTCCTCCAGAGCCTGGGCTGCGACTGTGCGTTGGGCGGCCGTGAGGCCGAGAAGCATGCGCGCCGGGGGCGCGGGCTGCCCCGCCGGGCTGCTGCTGGTCGTCGGCTGGCTGCTCCTGGTGGGCCTGCAGGCCTCGCGGGCAGCGAATGTCACCGCGGTCCCGGAAGCCGGCGTGGCCCGCGAGGGCGAGAGCGAGAGCGAGGCAGATGAGGAGGCCGAGAACGACAACGAAGTGCCGGAGAACGAGACCCCGGCCGAGGCCGAGGAAGAGGGTGAGGGCAATGGCTCCCTGGGCACGGAAGGTGCCGAAGAGGGCAGAAGCCCACCCTTTCCTTAGAAAGAATTAACCAATGTCACCTGCTGTAGAGTTTTCTGGCATTACACAACAGCCCCGAGTTTATCCACTTTGTGCATCTATAGCCTTTAAAAACCAGACTTTTAAAAACAAAGTGCTAATGTCTAGGACTCCAAGAAAATAAGCACACATATTGAAAGTGCTATAGTAATACAAGTGTTACTTTGGAGAGGTATCCTCTCATAGGGAGTCGTGTGTGTGTGTGTGTGTGTGTGTGTGTGTGTGTGTGTGTGTGTGTTGTTTTTGTTTTCCTCTGCAGTCATGTTGTTCGTTGTATTTTTTAATTTCCAAAGTGCTCGACATCCTCTTGCTTTCCTGTTCTTGAGATGAGAACTCAAGGGAAGTCAGGATTCCTTTTACTGTGACATATCTAAATGGATATGCTGACAAAACTGTCCCAAAACTCCCATAATCTTGGTGCAGCCCTCAGCCCCAGACAGCCTTGTACTGTTTGTCCTTCAAAGAACTGAGGCAGCAGAAAAGGAAACCAACTCATGACATTGTTGGCTGATGATGTGTTAACACACCACACGAGAGATTGAAACAAACATGTGTTTGGTTCCATAAACATAGCATATACTCCTGGTTCATTAAACAAAATAACTTTGCAAACAGTTGTACATATTCATAAGTAAGTCACATGCTGGTAGGTTAGGGGCAAGTTGGCAGACCTCTGAAGGAGGATGATTCCCTACCTCCGCCAAGGGTCTAGCAGTCACTGTCTCGCTATCTTTATTTTTTCTTGTGTCTTCTCAATCAATATCTACAGCATTCTTGATGACAGACAGTGACTCAGTATCAGAAGGAAATTGTCCAAGGTTATTGGGGACCCTACCTTGGCAACATTACAGAGATCTTGAATAGCTCCCTGACATTGGAACTGTGAGAAAAAAAGGACTACAGAAGAGTCCATGTCCTAAGCATGGCTTCTATTCTTTGAGTAACAGTTTTGATACCAACAGTTTTAATATTAAACTGATCAATGGAAAATTCTAGCTATAAAGTGCTAATGTTGAGGTGAAACCCTAGTGAGGGATTTATAATCACATGCACATTCACAAGTTAAGTGCGCTTATTCTTGTAGTGCTTCAGTGTCTACATCTTTGGACTTCTGAGAATTCACATGCCATCTGGAATTTCAGATGTACAGTTTCATGCATAAGTGCTTTTTCCTGGGGAGACTAAGAGCCCAGAACTGGAAACAGTGGTGAGAAATATATGAACATTTCAGGACCTTGGTAAATTTCCATGGTGCTTATAGCCTAGTGGATCTCTAAAAATTGTCATCATCATTTACTGGCTAGGATATCTTTATTTACTTGCTTTTCTTTTTAATTCTGCTTCCATATAGTTCACAAAATAAGGGCTAATAGAAACACTTTGTGAGAAGCTTCAGTAGAGATTTCAATCTTGTGACCCCCCCCTTGTTTTTAGATGCCCTACCTTTGAAGCTGTGCATACTCTAAACTGGGCAAATAATTTGAATGCACCTAAATTCTCAACTGTTCAACCTGAATCTGCAGTGTATCCATCATGGAAATTCAGCTGCAGCCTCTCTCACAGAGTCTAGTTCATCATTATTGTGGTTCTTTTTGCACTATTGTCAAAACACAATACTTCTGAAAGATATGAAAGGCACACAGTTCTTTGCAGAGAATGCCACTTTGCTGCATAATTGCAAAGCATTTACAGTTTTAGATTTGTAAACAATTGGAAGATTAGTCAATGAGTTCTATTCATGTCAACATCATCTATTTTCTTTGAGTCCCCACATAGAGACCTGCTGTCATGATTTATCCACTTACAAATCTTGTCAAGTTAATTTGATATATAAACATGAAGAAGGAAAGAATCCTGTCATTGTGATTTCAGGAAAACAAGATGATTCAAGGTTTTGTAGTAGACTATTTAAGGAGAAATCCCTTTCTCTTGGAAGATGTACCACATATCTTCTTCATCTTTAAGAAATTCCATGTCTACTTACTAAGAGACAATTCAGACTATTCATCCAGGGTGCCATGTGTCACTGAGGTTTTGATTATGTAACTAATTGTTTTATCTTAACCTTTGTATTGCTGTCTCTGTTCATCATTGTTTACTAATTGCGAAATGTTTTATCTATCCATTTCCCCTTGGCCATCATCAACAAAAGCAAACCATACAAATAAATAGCCCAGTTGCCAAACCCCAACTTTGTTCATTTCTGGTGAGCTCTGCTGACTGCAGAGGATGGTGCCTCTAGAGATGTGTCCTGTGTTCCTGAATGATAGTGCAAAGCAGTGAGAGAAGAGAAACTGAAGAGATGGAAAGAGTTGGTGACCTCAGAGTCTTGGCTTATTTCACAACTTCTTTGTCTTTCTAGAAAATTCTGACTCATCTTCAATTTGATAATTTTAGAGTTTTTAATATGATTGGAAATATTGGTGACCAGTGGTGAAATAAAATTTGTTTGAAGATAAAAGAAACATCAGAGTATGTTAGATTAATTTATTTCCTCCATGTGCCTTATATATCTTTTAGAGTATAAACATTCTATATCAATATGCTCTTAGACTTATTAAAGGCTCCACTAGACATATACATATTGAATTATAAATCAGTTTTACTTTATTAAACTACAGCTGTGGTTGATCCTGGTGGCATAGGACTATATCCCAGCTACTTTAGAATCTCAGGCAGGAATTTTAAACTCAAGGACAACTTGGCATACAAAGTGAATTCAAAGGCCCCCTAGGTAACTTAAAGAAACCTGTCTCAGCTGGGGTGGTGTTGGTGCATGCCTTTAATCCCAGCACTCAGGAAGCAGAGGCAGGTGGTTCTCCGTGAGTTCGAGGCCAGCCTGGTCTACAAAAACCTACAAAGTAAGTTCCAGGACAGCCAGGACTGTTACACAAAGAAATCCTGTCTCAGCAACAACAACAAAAAAGGAAAGGAAAGGGAAGAAAAGAACCTGTCTCTAAAACAAAATGAGGAGCAGGGGAAGGATACAGCTCAGGTTGGAGCACTCACGGGGTATATTTGCCACTCTGCGTTAATACCCAGTAGTGCAATAAAAATAAAGTGAGAAATATGTCCTTCAATATAAGAAAGAATGAAAGTCCTGAAATATCAACCTTACACTCCACCCCAAGAAACAGTTTCAGGGTTCCAGGTGCACCCTGATGATGTGTGTCTCTAGTCATCCTGTACTGTGAGATTATTGCCAACAGGCTGTGGGTGAGGCTTTGGGAGATTTTAGGAACCTTTGGAACATTCTTGCCTCCTTTTGAACTTACTGTTGAGCTCATTGGTGGTTTTTACTTGTTCTTCTCTAATGACAAGCCACATAATATTTTTGAAGAGTTGAGATTTCAGCCTATAGGATTTAATTTCCTCTGAGGTTTCATTTTGTTAGATTTCGCTGTTTTTGTACCCTGTTGCTTCAGATCCAAACTTACCATCAGGCTTATTTTCAGGACCCCAGATACAGTCGGCATGTTATCAAGGTTCCTTTTACAGGTTATTAATAAAATGCTGAGGAAGACACAGACCTTTGACACATTATTCCTTCTACGTTGATACCAGCCAATTAACCAGCATCTGTGGACTTAAGGGTGTACTAGTATTCAGACTATTTTCATTTGATACATTGTTATGTAATAGGAAACTTTGACAAATGTCATATGTAAGTTCATATATATATCATTTTCTTGACGCATCATTGTAGAATTTACAGTTTTATAAAGTGACTAAATGATTCAGTGAACACTCAGTACACCACAAATACTAAAGTTGAAAGAGTCTTTGGAAATTGTCTGGTTCCATCTCCTTGTCCTTCTTTTCCCCCTCTGAGGAATCTCAAATAAGAAGGAATTTATGTATTTCCCCATAGTAGCATAGGTAGTGAATAATGGCGCTGGCTGACTGATGGTTCCTGAATGGTCCAGTAGTCGTTTTCCAGTTTTTAGCTTGTGCCTCATAATATGCCATCTGAAAATATTCAAGCATTTCAAATATTAAAATGTCAATTCAAATTGATCATCATGTTAGTTCAAATCATTTAACAAAGTCAATGTTGACTTAATTATATGTATCCTGTGCCTGCTCTGTATTCACAGTCCTGGATTTGATGCTTGCAAATACAGAATGAAGTGTTTGTGTAACTATTAATGTTTCACAATATTGAAAATGGGAAAGAATAAGAGTATGAAATTAATAACTACAAAATGAGTGTTGTCTTAAGTATTGTGTTAGCCCTAAGTAGTCTACAGAATGATTTACTACACCACTGCGTTCAGTTTAAATATCAAGTGAGACAGGCTTTTCAATTTTTACAAAGGGTCAACTAGGTCTAACAGAACTGAGTTGCTTCACTCACATTCCAACAGTGAATTAGTTGCAGAAGCAGTGTTTTTGATCTTCAAGTTGGATGTGCTTTCTGTGTGATTTGTTGCTTAGATATGCAATGCCTTTTAACATTCTCCTTTAGCAACCCATAGTGCATTTTTTTGTGTTGAGATTTGAGTCTTAATCTGTGTTTTTCAAGACTTGGTCACATATTATAGCTATAGGAACTCAGGCTAAACTTTGGAATGATTAGGAAAAAATGAAGTGTCCTAATATGGTACCTCATACCTGTAACCCTAGCGAAGCCAAGACAAGAGGACTACTGAGATCAAGGCCAGTCTGTGCTGTGTAGCAAGATCCTGTACCCAAAACAGAACTACCAAACCACAAAAGGAAAGTCAAAAGGAAATATGATTGAGAACCAAGACTACTAAGCTTCTCAAATAATTAGATATGCAAAGAGTTACATAATAATTGTATATATTATAGATTGGCCTGCTGGATAAATCATTGGAATGAATTCTTAGAAACGTCGAAATCTGCCATCCAAACCTGCAAAGTGAATGAGTGGAATCTATTTGTAGCTTTTTAAATTCTGATGCACACTTGGTAGGAAGGCTTATTTGGAGATGTAAATTGTTTTGTACTAGTTTATTTCTTTTACTGTCCTTATAGAAAATAGAGAATATCTTTAAATTGTTCCTAAAGTTCAAAGATTTGTGTCTATGTTTTATTATATTTTCCAGTTGGATTTTAATTCACTGTGTATTAACTAGTGAAAAAGAAAAGCCCTGTGTTATATATGAAATTCAAAAGAAAACCTTAAGTTATTTCTAACTTAATGAATGTCCTTAAGTTTAGGCTTCTTTTGATTTAGAGTAGTGATAGCTGTGTTTACTTGAGGAGCAACTTTGCATTCCTGGTTTAATAGGACATTAAAAAAATCCTCTATTGCCCCTATGGCAATTACCTGTACCCTTCACCTACCAAGAACTATGCTTGTCACTTATAGAAGTTTGCATATGGCTAAATAATGTTTTTTTAACTTTATGTTTAGTTCAGAACAGAACAGTAGTCAAAGAAGTAGAATTTGGAATGTGCACAGTCACATGTGGTAAGTAGCATAGACCAAAGAAATAACTGTCATGATTTCTACCAAGATAAAATGCCAATTATTTGTAATTTCTCTACTTCTTAATGCTTTCTTCATCTCTTGTTTTCTATTCCCATTACTATAATTTACACACAATACTAGGTAATTGCTTTAAAGGTATATTTTCAGGTTTGGGGTATTTTTGCATGTAAGCTATATTTACTAAACTAAAATTCTGCTTCACAGATGTTCAAAGATGAGATATCTTCAGTGCATCTAACAGATGCCTTCCCACACTACTTTGGCAAACCTGCCAAAAAATAAGCTTATTTGCAATAGACTATTACAAATATTCCATTTCGCTAGTTGTACATTATATTTTGGAGAAAAAAGGTGCTAGCTTTGCAAGATGAATAATGTTGAAAGAATGTGACATTGTCCATTCCATGAATAGAAATTGTAAACAAAATCTCTTACATAGTGTTGAGATTCAAACATTTGCTATATAGACTTCTAGCTGTCAAACAGCTACCCTAAGTATGTTAAAATTGCTGAACTAACCCAGAGTTTCTAACAACCTAAAACTTTGGGTAGGCCTAAGATTTCGAAGTTCTGATTAATTCACGAGAAAGCTGATCTTGCGAGTGCTGCAAGTCCCTTGGTTTCTATAGCCATTGCCAAGAATCGCATGATGAGAAGACAGACAATAGGTAATAAATGAAATTACAAACTTGGAAATATGACAGTGATGAGAATCCAGTCTGCACACATCTACATCAGACTTCTTAGGTTTGGTAAAAAGAATTACCAAAACTGACAGATTTTTATGTGGGTGCTAAAATATGCATAGCATAAAAGTTACTATTTAACCACTTTCGAGTATACAGTTCAGTGGCCATAACACTACATCAACATTATCTATAGAATAATTTCAGTACCCACACTAAAACCTCATACCCAGTAGACAGTAGCTCTCTACACACCCATCCTCCCAGCTCCTGGCAGCCACTTTTTTTTTCTAATCAGCTTAAAATGGGGTTCTGGCCTTAGCTTAGTAATGACAGCCAAAATGACAGGAATCATGACAGCCTAAGAGTGTTCAGTTGTAATTTATCGTTTGTTGTTGCTGCTGCTGCTTGACAATTTTCCACAGTAGAGTTATTTTATAATAATTCCAGTAATCTTTCAGCCTTCCTTTTCCTGATCTTGTGGGGTCCACTTTCTTAGCCCTCAAAAGTGTAGCATCACCAAGAAACTCGTTAGAGATATAGGATGCAGACTTTTTACAGGCTGGGTCAGAGTCTGCATTTTAGAAAGATTTCCAGGTGACTTGCATGCACTCTTAAGTCTGTATGCCTCCTTGTCATCTTCAGCTTTTTCTTTCCTTGGATGGGCTTATGATGAACACCTTGTTAGGGGCTAAAGAAGGGAATCCAGCAGGGAAGATGAAGGGAGACTCTGCCTATCCTGTTACACAACTTATGGGACGTAATTCCAAACCAGTGACACTCTAGGATCAGCTAATAATTATTTGATTTCTTGCTAAAAATGTGTGACAGATTGAGAAAGAGTATCTTGCTGGATATAGAGGTGTAGTAAATAGTTTATTCCATGTATACTTAATAGAGAGACTTTATTTAAAAAATCTTATGGTAAAATATGATTTTTGGAATTGATTTCAGAAGCTCCAACCCCAAACCTGAAAAGTTCCATTATCAAATAAATTTGTGTAAGCCCATGTATTATGGTAAATCTGATTTTATAGACTGAAGGAAGAATATTTTATGTACTCTTAAAATGGAAAATTCTATCAATTTAAAACCTACACAATTATATTGAGTTCTGATTCCAAAGATATTGAAATTAAATTTTTATATTTTAGTCAATAAAAATTATGTATGGTAATATATTTATTAGCATACTGCACATTTCAAAAAACTTCTATAATAAAGAGGTTCTTTTTGCTTTATTGTAATGTTTAAAATGTGCAAGTGAGCATAGAGTCCTTTTCCTGATGAGAATAGCAATCAGTGTCTTATGAAACTTTCTTGGGGGGAAATACTGTTTAAAGAAATAACTGGAGTGGGGGTCTACAAAAGCTCTACATGTTGTCATACTGATTAAGATTTTAATTTCCAAAATTAAGAGAACATTCTCAAAACTAAACTAAAGAAAATGTAGACTTGAGTGGGAGGAAAGGCTCCTTGCAATTACTTTTATTTAAACATTTGTTAATTTCTTTGACTAAAGGTGTTGGTATCAGAGAAGTTATTTTAACCAATGGATGCCCTGGAGGTGAATCCAAGTGTATTGTTCGTGTGGAAGAATGCCGTGGACCTGTTGATTGCGGCTGTGAGTTGAATCCATATTTGCAGAGGGAGGGTTTATGCTGGGGAAATACTTTTAACTTCAACCTACTACTGAGTACAAGGAGACAATCAACTGATAAAAGGAAATACTAAAAAATTAAATACCCCTTCTGTAGACTGTCAGAGCTCTAAGTAGTCTTGCTTTTGATTCACATTTCAGTGGTGTGTAGAGTCTGTGGTATGCTGGACTTTCACTGTGCTTGGGGTCTGTGTTTGAACCTGCCCTGGAGTGAAACACTTCTGATGCTGTGGCTATGACATTTTTTTGCAGATTGATAAACCTAAAATTTGGAAGGTGGAGCTGTTTGTACCAAATTATGCTTTTTTATCATTTCAACTTCTCTAATGAGGTTTCATAACCCTGAATTAGAAGCCATGGGCAGATCACCAGGTTTAAAGTAATATATCTCTAAGCTAAATGCCTTCTCCTCTTCCACACTTACTTCTGCACTCAAATGAAGAGTCCTGGTTTCTCCTCACCTGCTTCTTTTTGGTGACTGCTCTGTAGTCAGACTCTCAATTACAAGAGTCAATGTCCTTGGTATCTAATTGACTTCTGAGGGTGGCTTTTTACAACAGCGTGGCATATGAGAAAGGATCCCCAGACAACACAAAGTTTTCCTTACAGTAGTGTTATTTACTACTGTAGGGAGATAGGATTTGAGACCCAGATTCTAACCTGGCCTTTTGTTATCTTCTCAGGGATCTTCAGTGGATTTCATAACTTTGGATACCTTTATTCAGCTGGAGAAATTAGAAATTTGGCTTTTCATAGCCAGTCTAACCCTCATATTATGTGTAATATATATGGATGTGTATGTATTATGTATACTCAGTGTCTTGATAATGCTATATCTCTTGGTTGATGATATAATTAAATTATTAGTTGATGATACAATTGAAATTGTTGATTTAAAAAGGGAGTATGGCCAGATAAAGCAATTTCTGCCCAGTGATATTTGTCTATTTTTTCTTCTTTTTCAGGGGGAAAACCAATTTCTGAAAATCTTGAAAGTGTTAGACTGTCATGTGTTCATATATCTCCTGTAAATCGTTTCAAATATATGTGGAAGCTTCTAAAGCCAGACCAAGTAAGAAATGACTGTGTATAATCTGGTGTTTTTAGTGGCTGATAACATTTGGTACCTAGTTCTGATGTTTTATGAAATCAATTTGGAAAATGGAGTTAAAAATTATATGAATTTATTGTATTATTGGAATTCAATTTTTATCAAACTAAAAATACATATGTCTTAGGGTCATATATAATCACAACTTAGATTCACACATTTTATGTTGTATTCTGTTTTGGAATCAAGGTTCTTACTGGTTTTATATAGGCGTGGCATGATAAACAATAGTTAACATTAATTAAAGGTGTTATGAATACCAGAAATCAACTGAGTGATAAGAGTTCACTTAAAAGACAAAACAAACCTATAAACTTTTAAAAAAATAAGTATAAAGGTGTCATTTTACTGATAGTAATTGAGGTATAGAAAGTGTCTTTGTTTGCTTTTCTGTCACTGTGATTAAACACTTACCAATTGAACTGGGGAGGAAATAGTTTACTGACGCTTTCTGCTCCAAGTGACAATTCATCACTGAGGGAAATCAGCACAGGACCTGCAGCAGAGCCATAGGGACTTGTTCAGCCTGCTTTCTTATACATCCCAAGACTATCTCCTGCCCAGGAGTGACATCACCTACAGTGACCTGGGCCCTCTCACATCAGTCATTAATACAAAAAATGCCTCACAGACTAGCTGACAGACCAGTTAGATAGGTATTCTCTCAACTCAGGTTCCCTTTTGTCAGATTACCCTAACTTGTGTCAAGGTGACAAAGCTCACTAGCACAGAAAGTACTGTCCATAGTCAACAGGGTTGAGTTTGAAGTCTACATTATCTGATTCTAAATCATATATGTACAATTAATCACATAGAAGGCTGAGAGTGAGAAGTTCTTTTGTTAGAGGATCTTCCTCAAGCTGTCAACCTATTGTGTTTGCCAATGATCCAGAGTACCCTGCTTGTCTTTCACTGTTTCCGTTTGCAAGCAGTGAACCCAGTCAAGACCATTCATACATTTTGTTTTTGTTTTTTATTTTGTTTTTAATAGCAACCCATTATACTTTCAAATGATTCAGCAATCCTAGAAGTACAAAGAGAACTTCATCCTATGGCTTTCGAGTGTGACACCCTGGATAATAATGAAATAGTAGCGTCTGTTAAGTTCACAGTCTATACAACAAGTGGTAAGTGTCCAACATTGTTTGGTTTGCTTATATCTCAAACTCATTATTAGGAAACTGCCCGATGGACTTTTTAAAATGCTGATTTCTACCAGCTATACCCCAGAGCTTCTGATTCAGTAGATCTGTGTAGTGCTGGCACATGAATTATCAGATGAAGCTGCTCCTTTAAAACCCAGTCCTGAAGCTAGAGATGGCTCAGCAGTTCAGGGCACTGACTGCTCTTCCAGAGGTCCTGAGTTCAATTCCTTATACTCATGTAGTGGTTCACGGCAGTCATTAATGAGGTGCAATGCCCTCTCCAGTGTACAGACATAATGCATGCAAAGTACCCATGTACACATTTAAGTGCCTCTTTAAACAAGAAAAATTGACTTAAAAACAAACAAAGCAACAACAACAAAAAGCAGACCTTCAACTTGAAATATATGGTACATTTATTTCCACCATTAAAGTAAAGATTGGATTGTCACATGTGATTGCAGAAAAAAGTATAATTAAAACTTATGAAATCAGAGCATTTCTCTTTAGAAGCTATCTATTTGATGTGTGTGTGTGTGTGTGTGTGTGTGTGTGGTGTGTGTGTGTGTGTGTGTGTTTTGAGTTTTTCTAGATAGCCCTGGCTGTCCTCGAACTCAATATATAGACAAGGTTGGCCTAGAACTCATCTGTCTGTCTCTGCTTCAGAATGCTGGAACTAAAGTTATGTGATATCATGCCTGGCTTTGGATTATATTTTTGATGATTCAGTATTGAAGTTCTTGCTCTATCCTTGAACATGACTTTACATAGACATTGTATCTCCTAAGAAATAAAGCATATGTCCATGTTCATTCAGTTTAACCTGTGGCATTCTCTATGTCCCCATAACTATTTCCTTGGGTTTAGTTGCTCTCAACCATATTTAATGATGCTATCTTTGTTGGTAGGAGTATCTGATCACAAGGTCTTTTGAGAACTCACTTGTGTTAGGATTCTCTAGAGGAACAGAACTGATAGAAGGAATATTAAAGGGAGGATTTAGTAGAGTGGTTTACAGGCTATGGTTCAGGTAGTCCAACAGTAGCTTTCTCCCTGTGGAAGGCCACTAATCCAGTAGTTGTTCAATCCATGAGGCTAGATACCTCAGCTGATCTTCCAACTATATTGAAGTTTCGAAGAAGTAGGTTCTAATACCAGCAAAGGCATGCCTCAGCATTAGTATAGATGAACTTGCCAACAAGAGTGAAGACACACAGGCAAAAGCAAAAACTTCCCTCTTCCATGCCATTCTATATGAACTGCTACTATAAGGTGTGGCCCAGATTTAGGATGAGTCTTTCCACCTCAAATGATCCAGACAAGAAAAAACACCTCACCAGGTATGTATGATTATCTGCTTGGGTTTTAGTTGATTCCAGATATAGTCAAGTTGACAACCAAATTAGCCATCATATCATTAAAGATTCTAGAGCTCTTATTCTCAGAGAACTGTCTTCATATGTAAACCTTCTAGAAGTGCTAGGTAACTTTAAAGGGGTCTGTGCATTTATTGAAGCTATTTCTGAGTCTAAAAAGCTTTTTTTGCAGTCTGGAGAGCCATGCCATGCAGTGTTCTTTATTGAAATGAAAACAAGCTGCAAAGGGTTTTGGAGAGGTTTGAAAAATAAATGTTTACTAGTAAAAAATTCTTGATGTGCTTTTAGATTGCAACTTACAAAACATCTTCAAGGCAGAAGCTAATAACCACTACGTTGAGTCATCATTAAAAAGATAATTCTAGTAGCAAATAACTATTAAGAAAAGCATAAGAAGACTGAACAACTGGGGGACCTTCAGACTTAATAAACATTCTCAACCTGCCATAGTTTATGATGCTTATAGGTTCCTGCCATTTGTAGACTTGGTCATCACTCCCTGGCCCCTCATAGGTACCTTTTAGTAGTTAGCACTTTTCACAACTAGAAAGGACCATTTTTCTGCTAATGTGTAAGCTAAGGGTTAGAACACAGACCCCAAATCCTTGTCCTTTGTTGAGACAGTGTTGACTTTATCTCATAGTGACCCAGGAATGGTGAGGTAGCTCTGCCACTTAAGAAACAAAGTACCTTCAGAATATTTCAGTACCTATTAGTTCCTCTGAAAAACAGCAAGTTGCTCACCATGCAACAGACCTTTTTGTTTGTTCAGACATCAAGTAAATGTTTTTGTTACAAATATCCACACCCTACAGTATTGGAATGAATCAAATAAGTAATAGAAATGTTTTTAGGATAAATTTAGCTAATAGAAAATTCTGCCAGATATAGTGGTGTATGCCGTTAATCCCAGAATTTCAGAATCGCATCACAGAGACAAGCAAATCTCTGTGAGTTGTAAGCCAGCTACATAGTAAGTTTCAGGACAGCCAGGACTGAGTAGAGAAATTCTATCTTAAAGAGAGGAAGGGAAGGGGGAGAGAAAGAGGGAAGGAGAGAGAGGGGGAGGGAGGAAGGGAGAGAGGGAGGGAGGGAGGGAGGGAGGGAGGGAGGGAGGGAGGGAGGGAGAGAGACAGAGTTAGGGACAGAGAAGGGGGAGGGAGGGAGAGGGAGGCAGAGAGAAACAGAGGGAGGGAGGGACAGATGGCAGAAAATTTTCATTCCCATTTTTTCTTTCTCTTTTCTATATCATGTTCTCACTCACAATTATTGGCTTTCATAATATGGCATTGTTTGGGAATTTAATTGTATGTCCTAAAAGATACATTGATGTCTTAGGTTCTCAGTATTTAGACTGTAGGTATATTTGAAAAAGAGGTCAGTTAAGATGGGGTTGTGACTGTTGTCCAAATAAAGAGAACTTTGGACTGAGGAGGGAAAGGGGAAAGAAGAAAGAGCAGGAGAACTAAGAGAAGGGGGAGAGGAATGAGAGGCAGGGTAGGGGGCAGGCGCTTGTAAGCAGATCCAAGCTGGGTAGCTGAAAAGGTATCTCAGAACCCCACCCCAAACCTTCACAAGACTCGCTGAGTCCCACCAACCCCACCAATTATTTATAGCTTCCGGAATATGAAGCAAATTTATGCTGTTGCCAAGTCACCCAGTTTATGGTACTTTGCTTTAGTAGTGATAAGAAACTAACGTACACATAAGCTATCTTTGACTAAAACATTAAATATTGAAATTCAACCCATTTTTAATTAATTTTAATTTCATTAAATTTTTTCTTAGAAATTTTTAAGAAGAAATTCAGCCTTCTTAAGAAAGTTAGATGTACAAGTAGTCCACTTGGTGCTTGCAAGATGACTGTTCTTCTCAGGAGTGGAGATATATTCTCATACCCTTTACTCCATCCTATCTTGGCTGACGCTGGGTGTTAGTGAATAAAACAAACTAATTTTGCATTTCTCTTCAGAGCCCAGTCCTAAACATTGTCTCTGTTATAAAAATCTCCCACTTTCTACAAACTGAAATTATTAAATTTTTTTCTTAATCTGACAATATTGGAATAAAAATATAAATTCACCTTTGCAATTGTATTCAGGACTGTTTAAATGGAGATCAACAAATTGCATTTATACTATGTGACTACTGAGAAAAGATGGTTATAATCCATGGCATTAAGAAGATAGGAACAAATCCAGGTGATTGCTATACAGGAGATCACTTCTCATGGAGTGGTACATACTAAAATTAAAATGTTAAAATAGCCAACTCATAGTTGATATAAATCTCCCTGGTCTTTGTTTTACTTACCTATATAATATAGTATTTAGTCTGGTGGTCTGTTTCTGTATGGATTATTTTTGTGTGGGTTAAGAATGGGGGAAATAAAAGAACTATAGGAAAGCCATCACATTCATAAAAAGTATAACACTGATATAAGCTGTCTCTTCACCAGTTTATAGTCCAGTAATGCTATCACACATACTGTAGACCAGCTCTGCCTTCTTTTTTTCAGAGAAGAAATGCCTGATTTAGGAGTAGTGTGTCAATATTGTATGGAGAACAATTAGTATCAAGTCCAATCTTATATTTTAAAAACCAGAGTTATGTCATAATCCTAAGCATAAAACTTAAGTGTGTGACGTTTGAAGGGGGAAATGACAGAAGGTCATGATTCAGTAATAGGCAAGGTTTCTTAACCATGACTCAGATCAATCACCATAAAACTAACGTTGAGTAAATCACACTGTGTCAAAAGTAAAAACTTCAGATTACCAACATAAGTCACTTGGAAAATGAATAGGCAGACTGAAATCTAGGAGAAATCCAAGTAACATAGGCAGGATAATGAGTTTGATAAAGGTCTCTCTCAGTTTGTTAGGAAACTAGGTATATCCCTACCCTCCTGACAGAAGTTACTCTTTTATTTATCTTAGAGAAAACAGATCCACAAAATAAGGCTTACAGGAATGGTTCATTTAGATAGCCATTCCCCAGTGATAGACAGTAGTAGTCATAATACATGTCTCTCTACTTTCAGAACTGCAGATGAGAAGAACAAACAGGCCAGACACTGATGCAGTCTTAGTTTTTGTGCTGACCATAGGAGTCATTATCTGCATATTTGTGATCTTCGTCTTGATCTTCATCATCATAAATTGGTAGGTGAATGGCTGGGATGCACCACCATCTTTGATTGACGTGGTCCTCAATCTCCACCCATTTGCAGTGAAGCCCAGATCTCTGCCCCATGGTGTGTCCTATATGTGTCTTGATACTCTCTTGTTTCAAGCTACCCCAACTTGTATATGGGTGCTTTTACAAACAATAGGGTGACTTACTTTGCAGCCATGGGAGAGCTTTCAGATGTGTATTTTACAATTTTACAAGACAATTATTTTAAAGGGAAAAAAGAGACTACTTTTGCCATTTAACCGTGGCTCTCACTGCTTTAAAACTTGGCTGTTGTAACCTCCCAACTCATTTAAATGAAAGAAAAAAACCTGCATATGTATTATACCCAGCAAATCTGAGGGTTCGTCAATCACAGTGCAGATGGATTATTCCAAGTGGAGTTGAACTGTGAATAAAGGGCACTTTTATATAATGGAGATATAAGTATGAGCCTCAGTTTTGGTTTTGTTTTTTATTGTGGCCTTTGTTTTTGTTTTTGCTTTTTCCGCCAGGGCGGCAGTGAAATCCTTCTGGGGGGCGAAAGCCTCAACTACTGAGATACATTCAGAGCTGAGTTCTATGAGGTACAAAGATTCAACTTCTCTTGACCAGTCACCAACAGATATACCTGTACATGAAGACGATGCTTTAAGTGAATGGAATGAATGATGTATGGATGACATATGAGAAACCAAAGACAATTAGAGCATATCAGATTCATTATTATAAAAATAAAGTATATACTGAAATACTTCAATGACACTGCATTGAGTTTGCCTCCATGGTGCTAATGCATGTGCGGCAGGGTTGTCTGTTCAGTTCAGCCCTCTAGTACAATTGCCAGATTCACTTTGAAATAGTTCTTGGTATTTACTGTTTCAGATAACAGCTTGAGGTCACTTATATAAATGTATATACAAATAGTTTCTGATCACTTTGGTCATTTGTGAGGTCATTCTGTCCTAAATAAGAAAAATATAATATAGAAGTTTCCTTGAAAAGTAAGATTTCTCCAACCTGAGGGATCTAGGTTGAACTACTAAAGTAAATCATACTTCATAACCTCTGCAGGGCATGTAACGTATAAAACATCATTTGTAAAACATGAAGTAGTGATAGCAACCAAGACTTGGTGACTACTGTGTGTTAAGCACTGCTCAAAGCAGTTTATTAGGTAATTTGATTGTGTTTGTATAGAGGAAATACATGTAAGAACTAAACAAGTACTTGGAGGTGGCTGGGAAAATAACATGAATTTAATAATTTTTATTTCTCCCAGAAGCAGTGACTTAGAGACTCTATAATGACCACTAACAAGTACATCATTGTGCTTTGTATGCAGGTAATAATAGAAAAGAATGCCAGCATTTTGTGTTGTACCAGTGTGACACAATTCAGCCACTAAACTAGATGCTAAAGCATTAAGGATTATACTCAGTAGTCTTTTCCAGCAATTGTTCTTAAGGCTACATTTTGTTTTTCTCTGTTTAGATGAATTCTGCTTTAACTTCATTACTTTATTTTAGGATTTATGATATACATGAGGCAGAAAACATTATAAATGAGCATTTGTGGTATACCTTTTTCTAACACAGAGAAAAAGGATATTATAAAGTTACCCTGTTTATTTCTGTTACATGGCAGTTTTATCGGAAAGAAGCAAGGATCAACTGGTTAGAAAATGATGTTTATCTGTTGTGGGAATTCCTTTGGAGACCTTAAGTGAAAAGAGATTGTTTTTATATAGTCTCCTAAAAGAAAATTTTACACCACCTATCTCAGACAAATGTTAAACAGCAATCAGCCTTCCAGTTCTTATTTCTGAGCATGTATGGTCTTGCACCTTTAGTAAAGAGGCTATATAAATCCTTGTTTTAAAGCCAGAATGGCAGTGGGTTCCAACTATATTTCCATGGAAGAAGACTAGTTGTGCTAACTTCTGTTCTGGAGCTATTTCTGACTGCCTACCTCTGGCATGTGGTAGGACAGTATTTCTTAGCTCTTTTGGTTGGGAGGGGCAGTGTGCCTACTTCTGACCAGTAAGTTATCAGCCCACATTCCGAAGATCTGGGTCATCCTGAGTCTGGAACAATGATGTGAGGAAATATTTGGAACTTTCATGGCTTGGATTCCAGAGTGAGGACTATGTGCCACAGGATGTTTAGTAAGCCTACCTTAGATAGTCTACATTATACACTATTTTAATGAAAGTTTATAGGTTATTTGATACAGTAGTTAATTCTAGAACTATTCTAATTGACATATCTCTTTTCTTTAAAATAAGTTGAAGAAACTTCTTTACTGGGTACTTATCAAGCTTTCAGTGTGCTGCATACCCCCACGATTTTCCAATGAGGGCATTGATGAACTATGTCCCTGATGTATGGAATGAAGCCATGAATCTGTGTAAAGGGTACTGCTCACTTTCAGGCAAAACTGTCCTGAAAAGTTTGCGTGTGAGGAGCCAGGGCTCAGTTAATGTATACTAGCTGAGTAATTAGTAATGCGTCACACACAGCAAATCATCAGTAGGCTTTGACATTATATTATAGACTACAATGTAATAAATACATTTATGGAAGCCTGAAATTTTCTGTGAAGCAATGTTAGGAAGACTCATTTAAAGAAAAGTTTATTAAGACAATTTTACCTTGTTTAAAAGGGAGGAGAACCTGGGAAGAGCAAAGAACAGGTCGGAAAAAGCAAAATGCATCTTGGAAGAAGGCTAGTAGACCTAGAATATAGAAAGGAGAATATGTTTGTGGGAGATGAGGCAGAGGCAGTTGAGACCATACATGTACATGACATTATATTTGCATAATGAAAATACTGTGTGGACCATAAAATTATATTTCAATAGATAAGAATGCATATCAATGATATAATCTCCAGAATATTCTTCTCAACCATAATTAGCCATGTCCTCTTGGAATTTATTCCTACTGATCTTTTAACAAACTGCTGGTCCTCACTTCATAGGGTAGTCTATACATTGACCTGCAGGGAACCATAGAGTTGGCTTGGCCTAGCTGCCTTGAGAGGCATGTGTCATAGATTTATCAGGTTAGAGTCCATGGCTACTGGGGCACAGTGTGCCTTCTGGTTCCTGAGAGATTAATGCACTCCCTCAGGCAGTGCCAGTTGATGTTTCTCCTGTAGATGTCAAGGATGGGTAGGAACTTGACAGGACAATTGGTCTTAGACATTAACCTTGTGCACCCTGTATAACTTGCAAATGTCATAGTATCTTGGCAACTACAACTGTACTGATCCTGGAAACTGCCATTATATTTTGTTTCTGATAAAGTTTGAAAGTCTGATTGCTCTCAATATAATTGCCACAGCCTATTGTGCTGTGGCCCCCTCCAACCTGGCCTGATTTCATTCCTCATGGCCACATCCGGTAACATTGGCCAAGTAAGTGTGGGCACTTACATTGACCTAACCTAGGTTCTTTTAAGTCCTACTGGGAATGCAAAATCCTTACCAGTTATAACTTAGTTTTCATACATTATGATTCCTAATTCACTCTCTTGTTCAAGACATGACAGGAACATTTAAAGTTCCTCAGAATAGCCATGGTTGTTGGTGATACCTCTAGGTCAGCATCCAGTGACAAGGTAGGCACTGGCTGTGATTTTTCCATGGTAAGGACAAGACATGGAATGAATCAGACAATGTCACTCATTCTGTAATATCCAACTTCCTTCTGTTGACAATTTAATGGTTTCAATTCTCTCTAGTAGATATTATGTTATTTTATGATTAATCATTTCAAAATTGAGGTAATTTTTCTATGTTGGCTCTTTTCTTATACTTTAAATATGCTTCTTCATGACTTTTTGTTTTTGGAAGGACTGCCATTTTGAAATTTATCACCCATCACTATGGTGATTTATCAACTGTTTCAAAATAATAGAATCAGTTATGCAGTAATTTAGACTTTGAGGTTTGTGCCATTTTATTATCTGTGATCAATTTGTTGTGTAATAGAAAACAGTTTGTCTTTGACAATTTCTGACTCTTGCTGAAAAGCAAAGTTAGATTTTGAACATCCATGTCATCATGTCCTGTCTTCATTTGCATAAACTCTTCACTGGACTCTTTCTTCAGTTCTGTACTTCAAGTGTACCCAGCAGACCACCAAGTCCTCTTCCTTTACCTGCTCTTCAGACCTTACCACACGCTTATTTGGATTCTTTTCCCCATTTAGCCCTTTTGTGACTCTGCACCTGCTTACCACTTTTCCTTGCTCTCTCTGAAGCCCCCATCCTACACCTCACCTCGCTCCTTCCTCTGGAATCTTTAACCATTAGTCTTAGGCTCTCAGAAGTCCAGGACAGTATCCTATGTCACCCTGCTCTCCAGACTCTCCCATCACATAAATCAGCACAGCCTCCATCCCAGCTGCAAAAACACCAAGCATGTATACTCCTTGGCTTGCTAACTCTAATAATTGCACACTGCATGGTGCTTTCCCCAGAGTGTACAAAAGGATGTACTGTGTTCTTTCCTGCATATCTCTCGGGCTTTATATTGTTTGTTCTGGAAGAACATGATTTCATTATGTCAGATGATTTCTCTTCCTTGTAAATCATGCATTGGTGTTACCTTGGGGTACTGCATAATAATACAAATATTGCAGTACCTCTCTAATGAGAGTGCTTAAACCTAACCTGCTTGTCTGAAAGGTTTTTGAGCTTTGTCTCAGTAATTCCTAAAAGAAAGCTGTATTTATTTTTTAAAGGATGAGGGGCTGATTAATGTACAGAAGCAAAGCTGTAGTATTTCTATTGTCCTCAACACACAATCTTCATGGAGAAAACATGTATGTTGGTGGTAAGAAATTCAGTGAGCATGTGGTTACCTCAGCTTCAACTTTGTTTTAGCTGTATTTTTCAAGAAAGAGTCCTACTATCATTATAGGAAGTAACAGCAGCACTGATCCCTATGAAGCTCACTAATGCCAGCTTTACTTTCAGATTCCTGTGTGGTAGCTTCATTCTGTGTGAAAACATACACTATTGGTTAGAGGTTCATGTCACAGAAGCATATATGTAGAAATACATGGACAGCTGTGAAGAACAATAGACTAGCATAACTCCACAAAAGTATTATTTAAATAATTGCTGGGTCCTAAACTTTATTCATAATAAAAATTTAATAGCTATCATTTATTCTAAAAAGTATAGAATTTGAATATCAAAGAAAGCTGTATTTCTTCTTGGCATTTCTTTTAAATAGCGAGAAATTATAAAAAAATGTCCAACATCTAACTTCAATATTCAGTAAGAGTCAGAAACTGTTAAAGACAAACTTACCTATTATACAAACAACATGATCACAGGCAATAAAGTGGCACACATTTATTTACTTCTATCTTTTCCTCTCATTTGCTTCCATGTCAGCTAGTTCCTATGCTGTCAAAAATCCCCCTTGTGTTTCAGGAATGCTGTTTTCCCTCTACCTCTCTGCCATCCTTTTCCCCATGGCTTAAATCTTTCAGATGCCTACATTATCTTCAACTCAAATTGATTCCTAGAGCTTCCGTTCTGCATTTATGACGAAGTTCTTCATTGATGCA